GGAGGGAGCTGTTAAAATCATTGTCTAGCGAAATTCCCCCATAGGAATCCCTGTTTTGCAAATTGCTATAGTGATCGCAAAAAGTCAATGTCTAGCGAAAAAACTGTCATGCGGGGTAACTGTCTAGCAAGGCGCCACTGTATTTATATCGACAACAAACCAGTGTTTGGTGATTCCCAGCTCTACCTCCTCTATTGGGCACCCACTAGGGGAGCATCTTAAAGACAAACCACTATATTTTTATGTGAGCTTTCATGGATCTAGTCCATTTCCTCAGATATAAGAGCGATACTATTATATCATAGTCATATTTACACATGCCCCATTAACAGGTTAAGACAAAGATGGGGAAATTATTTTAAAACTATATGGCACTGTAACTTTTGGGTGCAAGCTATCTGAAGGACTATATCTGAACAGGCCAAGTTTTTAAGATCTTTAGGAGATACTCTTCTCTCAGTCCTGCCACTTGCACAGGCACGTTTAGTGAAGATGCAAAAGAGGGTCTTTTCCATTACAGCTTTCATGTTGTAGAATGCCTTTCTTTGGGAGGCCAATTTGGCTCCCTTCCGATTCTCCTTCCAGGGATAAGTAAAGACATTATTTTGCATGTAGGCCTTCTGCAATTAAATTGAATTAAAGAGTAGAATACTGTATATTTTTGGTTTTCATGGTTTTTAAAAGAAGTTTTTAAATTATTAATCTTTTGAATATTTTATTGTTAATTCTATTTCTGTTGAAACTTGTATTTTTATTTCTATATGTTTTAAAACCCCATTTATTATCTGGGCTATACTAGGAGAAAGGCAGCACATATATAACCAATTCTATACATTTATTTATAAGTTGTGCAGTGCATCCTGTGCTGCCTTTATCTTCATGCCCATGCATTTACATGTGCATTAATTATTATTCATTTATTCATTACATTTATACCTTGCCCATCTAGCGCCTAAGTGCTACTCTGGGCAGCTAAAAACAACCCCTCAGCCCAGCCCATAAGGACATAAATAATGAGATCCAAAGAAAATATTAATAACCCAGAATACTGTATCAAATAAACCTAGATGGCCAATCAAAATCAATATCCAATTCATGGATCCACAAAGGGGTAAGATGTTTCTTGGAGGCCTCTTCAAACAATATAGTTCTTACTTGTTTCCTGAAGGCCAGAAGAAAGGGAACCTGGCATGTATTCACAGGTATGTGTTCTAAAAACGAGATGTATCCTCTACGTTAGGGACTTAATATTCAAGCGAAAGGAGTTGAATTATCACACTGGCAAATCAGATAAACATGGTTCAGTAGCTCCTAAAATTCCAAATAGGCTCAGCGCTTTCTTGGCAGCTGCTGCTGGGCGCTGGGATTTCCCGCCTAAGGGAAACCCACCCTATCCTCCCACCTCATTGTCTTTTGGAGCAGGAAAAAAAACCTTATTATTATTATTGACATTGCTGTTCGCCGCCTTGAGTACCATTTTCTGGCAGAAAGACAGGATGCAAATTTAAGGAAGACTTATATTTAGCAGGAGGCAGCGGAAGGCCTGGGTTTACGTTACAGCTCCACCTGTCCCCCCTGAGAACATTCTGAGGAAGCAAAACATGGCTGGTTTCTTTTTTTTTTTTTTAATTGATCCCGCCATCCGTCAGGTGTTCGGTTTGCAGTCTCCTTGAGTGAAGAATTAAAGATGTCCACATGTACTTATTGTATATTTGTAAACGGTACATGACCATGTGTTGTTGCAGTGAAAAAGCCTAATCACTTTTAGCCCAACCACTGCCCTCCTTTTGCCACTGGTATCGTCCTCATCTCTGCCACTCTCCAGATATATTTATCTATTCCGGCTCAGGTGTTCGGTTTGCAGTCTCCTTGAGTGAAGAATTAAAGATGTCCACATGTACTTATTGTATATTTGTAAACGGTACATGACCATGTGTTGTTGCAGTGAAAAAGCCTAATCACTTTTAGCCCAACCACTGCCCTCCTTTTGCCACTGGTATCGTCCTCATCTCTGCCACTCTCCAGATATATTTATCTATTCCGGCCCGGCCGCAGTTGCTGCAGTAAGATGGCTGCTCCTGCCGGCGATGCTGAGGTGGTTGGCGGCAGCCCGCGGGAGGTTGCCGCCGAAGGTTTCGGGCTGGGCTGGCGAGAGAGCGCTCAGCGCTGCTACGAGCTGGGCTTGGAGAGTGTTCGGAGTGTGAGTCCGGGGAAGAGGAAGGGGGGTCGCCCCGGAGGCGGCGGGTGGGCTGAAGCAGTCGGCCTTTGCCTCATAAGTTCCCCTTTAACTCCTGAAAGGAGGGTTGTGCAAGCTCGGCTCAAGGTTGCGTCTATTGACCTGAAACATACACTGGCTTTGGCCCTAGATGTGTGCGTGCTGTCCTTGCACTCGCTCATGGGAGGAGGGAGTTGCACTTTGTACGTGCTCAGAGGCACAGTTTTACCGCTTCCCCTGTCCCCGGTACTGAAAATACATGGTTCCAGCAAAGCTTATTACCAGGATCTTGAAGTGACGGTGAAACGCCTCGATGCTGATAGGAAATCTCCGAACCATATGGGAGAGGGATGCGACTAGGAAGGCCACCATATTTTCTGGAAGTGTTCTTGTGCTGTTGACAACGATGTGATCGACAGATTCGAGCGAAACTCTTTCCAGGAGCTGAATTTTGTCCATGAGAAATTAGTTAAAGGCATAGGAAAACAACTTTACAACAAGGAGGGCAAAGGGTGCCTCTATCTCGAACTTGGCATCTGATTGGTCCTTGTGCTATCTGAAGGATTTGGTTAGGGAGAGTTTAATTGTGCATGTTTTGTTCTATAATTTGTTTTTAGGAAGAAGCCATAAAAATCAGGTGCTGTTGCTGCATCTAATGTAACAGCTGGCTCAGAAATGAAACTTCTATATCATGAGGTGAAACATTTGGGTGTAAAGCCCTTCTCAACTTTTTTTAACTCATGGCCATAAACACAGTATGAAAGAAATATAGGTCAAATCAGGATTGTGCGGGTGAACCTCATAAGATGGTGTGTGAAGAATTGCTTCCAGTCTGTGGCCCCCTTCAAATGTGTCACATGGCCCATGTTGAGAATGGCTGAATTAGACAATGGCAGTAAAGTTGAGAAGGTTAGGTCATAGATCAAGATCTGGATTCCATTTCACCAACTTGCTCTCTCTTGGACTGTTCTTTGTTATTAAGAAAAAATGAGATGAGGATTGCAATACTGTATGTTGGAAAGTGATATAGTCACTGTTACTAGTTAATAAGAAAAGATAGATTTCATATGTCTCTAAAAGTCAGGATTTCTATGTTTAAAGAAGTTTGTGTGTATTTAACAGCGTGATTTCTGCAGTGATAACTTATTGTGTTATAAATTTACCACAAGTTTCTCTCCCCTAATTTATTTACCTTTTTTACATTTCATTGTGTTACACAGTCATGTGAATATTTCTTCATGAGCCTTAATCAATTTGGTAGAATCCTGTTGATTGAACACACATAGACAAGTGAAATTGGTTAAGTTGTGGTGGTAAATTGCAGCTAATTCGCAAGATACCAGTCATGTTCCCTAGTAACCTACCAGTCTGTGCAACCAAGAACACAACTAAAACTCCAGTAGGATTCTTGTCACTGTATCTTGACTCAATTTTCTTTTCAAAGTTTTCAGGACATGGTGAGTTAATGATTTTTTAGAGAATATTTACAAGATTTGATGTCTAAGAGTAATCTAAGAGGAAGAAAATGAATTAATTTAATACTAATTTAAGTAGGCCAACATCAGGTTTGCAAGATTTACTTTGTTTTCTGAATAGAACTTTGAGATCCAGTCTAAGTATGGTGAAATAGACATAGAATCAAAGAATGTTAAGTCAGCAAATGATTTTAGACTGAGTATCAAATCATATTCCTTGCTGATCTGCTGCATATTCAGGGGTGACATTATAACTTGGCAACCCAAAAGAAGCAATAAAGGCCAATAATTAACATGGAGAAGCAAGTCTGAATTTCATTTATTGATTTCAACTTATCAGTGAGGTTTTTAACTTCAGATCTCTGGTATAATTTATTTCCTGTCATTCACTATCTAACAGTTTTGGAGTTGTGTTATGGGGTAAAAGTAACTGCATGGTGGTCATCTTGTTAACAGCTGTTACTCATTCTGTAACTGATTTTCCCATCCTTTGTACTATTGCATTTTCTTGTTTTTATGTGCACCAAGTTATTTCAGAGCTATGATGTCCTTAATAGGATTTGTCAGGTATATACAATACTCAAGGAATGGTTTACTATTGTCACTTCCAGTATATTCCCTAGTTGAGCAGAGATTTGAACCTAGGTAGCCTGAGTTATAGTCCATCACTTTGTCCACTATGCACAGTAGATCTTGCATCTTCTTAGCATCATTAATTCTGGTGGCAGGTTGAAACAGACGAATAGCTTCATCTGATGCATATTTATTTGGCAGTTAATTCAGTTAGTTTAAGTAGGAGTTACTTGCAGGTAGATTTGTTTAGAATTGCAGTTTAGAGCCATATTCATTTACATACATACTTAGAAGCACGCCTCAGTGAACCTGATAGGACTTAACTTTGGTGGAAACAAACATAAATTGTACCATCTACATATCTTTTTAAAAAGGAATTTTGTTAGTAGCAAGATAATAAGTTTTGTTTTCTGCTGAACAAAAGCTGTAAAATAAACAAGAATGGCAAACCAAATATACTGATTCTGATAAATATCTGTCACTTCTAAAGAAGTAAGCATACAAAAATCTACAACTGAATTACTAAGCCACAACTGGACAGTGCACAGCATGTATATGTACCATTGCTTACCATAAAATAAAATTACCCCCTCTTCTCCCTAACAGCTATTCAGCTGTATTTCTAGTTACAAAAATTGTCTTCTGGAATAATCCTGATTTAATGCAGTAAAAGATACGATGTGAACAAATCATCTGTTTTTTGTTGGTGTGAAACTTGCTTTTTTTCTCTTTTAAAGGTTATTGCAGCATTACCTGAAGACATGAGACCTGGTCCAGATCTCTATGGCTTTCCTTGGGAAATTGTGATTTGCTGTGCTCTTATTTCCATTTTTATCATCTTATTCCTAACATGCAGGAGCTATCAGTCAGTAAGTATACTGTTTGATCATACAGAATTGCACCAGACTATGCAAGAATGCTTTTCAAATATTGGTACCAAGCTCCAACTAAAGGAGAGCTTTTGTGGAAATATGTCATGTTCAGGGTGATTGGAATTGCATCTGTAGATTGAAGCCAGAAATGGGTATTATAGATTGTCTGGAATTAAAACTGAAAGCTTGCTAGTGTTGGAGAGTGGTGATTGAGGCTGTCTTCTGGATATGTGAGATCAAACTTCAAAGGAAATCCCCTACTTGAATCTTGAAAAATAGCCAAACAAGCAAACTAATTTGCATACTGCTAGAGATGAGAGAGGTTCCTGCTGTGACACTCCTTTGGATGTTTTAATTAGTGAAGGATTTCATCTTCTAACTGTGTGTTGTCTAAAATGTGTTTTTGCCCTCATACATGATGGCTGATATTCTCTTCAATGTAAACATAAAGGGGAACATATCTCTGTTTTGGCTATTGCATAGTGCATCACTGAATCTCAAAAATGTTAAAAAGTAAACTAAAACATACCTGTCTCTAAATTCTAGTTCTTTTATCACAGGATCAGAAACAGTTTCAAAGACAGTTAACACATTAATGGCTTGTATTTATAGATATAAACCTCTAATGGTGTAAGGTCCTTCCAAAACTTTTTATTGCTTGAAGTGCTGTTTACATGAATGGGCAGCTCAGTCACCTTCTTGCCTTCCCTCATTTTTAAAAGATGTTGGCATATTCATTTGAGGCTTCTTGTAGCTTGAAGAAGAATTGTGCAAACTTTAGCTTTTGTGTGTTTTACTACAAGAGAGTAAAACTAACACAATTGCATACTTTGAGTACATTTATTTTGTAGTAATACTTTTGTCCTTTAAAGCAGCGGCCCCCAACTTTTTTGGGGCTGCGGACCGGCTAGGGGGGAATGAGCTCCGGTTCCGGCAAGCCCACGGACTGGCACCCGGCCATGGACTGGGGGTTGACGACCCTTGCTTTAAAGCACCATTTTTAAGAGACAATATTTATTCCATCTAGAACAATGCTTGTAATCTAAGACAATAGTTTTTCTTTAATGTTTCAGTGGGCATGACAAATTATGAAGTTCTTCTCTAACTCGAAGCTTCTTTAGAAGCAATTGTTTTTAGTTTTATATGTTTTCCAGCCACTAGGAGCAGAATGTTGTATTGCTGTCCCTTTTTAGTCTGAAACAATAGATTGGGTGTTTTATGGGAATTGCAGCAAAGGAGATGGAGAATGGTGAAAGGGAGAAACAACCATTTGCATCCAGAGCAAGGGCACAAATATAAGTTGTCTGGATGAATATCAGAACTGGGGAGAATGTGGTGGGGAAAACTTGGAGCAGAGTTTAGAAAGGATATATATATTTTTGGGCTACAACTGCAAGTCCCATCCTGGCTGGAAGAATCTGGAAGCTGTAGTTTTAAAAAGCAGCCTTTCCAGGCTCTGTTTCAAGAATTGTTCATAGTGTTCATTCATAGTGTATTCCATAGCTCTGAGCCAAAGGCAGACAGACCTAATGATTTTGTATAGATGTTAAGAGTACATACTCCTTCCCCACAGCTATATGAACATAGCTGAGTTAATGCACATAACTTAAAAACATTTGCCATTCAGGCTATCAAGGTTCCCAGCTCAAGCAGGATTGCCTACTAGGTCTAAACTCTGAGAATCAGTGCATAATTATGATTACCTTTAACTGTGGTTAATTTCAGCCAATGAGTCCCTTATGGGAAGAATCCTGCACATTGTTTTTGATCTCTTATGTAAACAAAAGAACCCTGATCTAATCTTTCCATAAGATTGGAAACAGAGTTCCAGTCCTCTAAACTAATCATACGATTTCCTCCTCTTTTCCAGGTTCGAAGTAGATTTTATGCAGGTAAGCTTAATTTTTTTCTGAATGGGTATCGGTCTTGTTGGAAAACTGAGATGAAATAATTTTCTCTCCATTAGGGTTTACCACATATAGCACTTCTTCTTCTATCTTTTAGGAAGAGAGAAACAACTTGCCAATAAAGTTGCTGAACTAGTTGAAGACAAAAGTAAAGTGTTGGAAAAGTTCAGTCTCTGCAAAAAAGAGGTAATGTTGATTACTCCAGAACTTGATTTATCAGATTCTGTTTTATTGTTTCTTCTTGAATTTTTAAACAGTTCATGTTTAATTTAAAGATCATTTGAATGATTTTTTTTCTGCACATAGTATCTGCACATCTTTATTCAGTAGTAAATTCAGTTGTGTTCAACTTACTCTTTGAGTCAAGATACAGTGACAAGAATCCTACTGCGATTACGATTGCCTCCTAGTAGTTCAGTTCATGAGTAGTAAAGTCCCCCTGATTTCAGTAGGATTTTCTATTTAGTATTTCAGGATTACAACCTAATTATATTGAGTTTTTGTTAATACTGTAAAATCAGTGGGCATATATTAACAGATCTTCAAATAGTATTAGTAGTTGTGTTCAAACTGGACAGCCATAAAATGCAATAAATAAACCAGGAATCTAGCTTTGTATGAGTTTGATCACTTTATAAATGATCATATATGCCACTGTCAATAAATGAAGCTGAAATTGTAATTGACTTGCAGAATTAGAAATTTGAGTACAGTATTTGAGTTTTTATCCTGGGAAATAGCAGAGCTCAGATCATTTAAAAAGGAACTTGTTACATTACTCTTTACATTATGGCAGATAGTTTGTTTTTATGGTTATCAACGCACTAATCCTTCCAGTAATTTCCATGGTTCCACTATACTAGCAGTTGTCAACAAGCTAAAATAAGATTAATCTGTTTGATTTTTTTATCATAAGCATGTTTTTTAAATGTTATCATAATAAATGTTTCTTTTTTAGTATGAAGAGTTAGAAAGCACCCTGGAAGATGCCAGCCTTCTACAAGGGTCTACCGTTACATCAGACCTTAAGGTAGGAAATTAAGAGGAAGAACTAACATGTAACATACATGTTTATAAAGTATGTGCATAATATTCACTTGTATAGAATTTCAGATGAAATGGAGAGATCCTGAGTAAAACTTATGGATGTGTAAGGAATACTTTATCATTACTTTGTATATATCCTTCTATATCAGCATAACTAGCGAAAGGAGAATGAAATATGCAAACTGAAGTGCATTACGTAGACTTCAATGTGCATGGTTAAACTATTTTGTAAATACTGGTTTTGGATATCTTTATGTGTCAATTTTAAGGGTATGTAGTATGCATCCATGAAATGTAAGCAATCTAAAGTTTGATATAACCTAATGCAACTTCATCTGTGGCGCAGCTCCTGATACTTGTTCAGCATATAATTAGAATTAAAAGTATCTGACATTTATTCCTGTGCTATATCCATTTGTTAGCCCTGCTAGAGAAGACATATTGAATGAATGGGAATTACATAATTGATAGTCTAAAGAATTACTTCAATGGATTTAATGTGTAGATGTAAATAGCCACAGATAATGTTTTTAATTGTTTTAGACAACATGTGAAGAACTGAGTAGTTCAAACTCTGTGCTGAAGAATGAAATACAATACTTAGAAAAGGAACTGAAAGAAGAGAAATCTAAAAGATTAGAACAGGATGATTTGGTATGTGTTTTATTTCAAGTACAGTACTCTTCCTTTGACAAACAGCACGCTGGTATAATTTTTATAATATATAAAATCATTATCCTGTCTTCCTACTTATCCTTGTCCCCCTTTTTTCCCCTTAGTGAATGTTCATTCTTGATATCTAAGTATTTAGGAACTTCTGTAATTGTATGGGTGTTTTCTCTCATCTAAATATAACTTGTTGCCATCTTAATTGAATGTAACTTCCTCAGTGTGCCTATCCTTTGGGCTGCTCTAAACATGCTTTCTTCTTTCAGTCTACTTTTCAAGTCTATGATGGACGGCAGTCCAGCAAGGGACGCGTCGTCCTTGCTGTCTTTCTCAACCATTACATTGTTATTGCCATCATTTAAAGAAATGTATTAACTCTTTCATAGATTTCTTTAAAACTGACTCACAATGTATTGTATTAGTTTGCCTGCATGCCCTTGTTGTACCTAAGGTGGCTTGAACATTGTGGGGTTTCGCCACCTACATATGTGGAAGGAATTATTTATTCCATCAGGCAGATGTGGGGGGTGGCGGTTATCTTCAAAGCCAGTTTTTGTTTTATTGCATATAATTAAAGCAGTAGAAAATAAACAGAGAAAAAAATAGAATGATCAGTTGGATTCTTCCTTTAATGCCCAGGATTTCAACAATAATTTGAAAATAAAGTGGTTCAATAATATCTTGCAAAGATTATCCTTTAGCAAATATGCAAATCTATTTCACTAAAACATTGGCCCCCATTTATTCTGACTAGACACTATCAACTATTAGTAACAGAGTATTCATATAAAATTGTTTCCAATATCTTTACAGATGGCTGAAATTCAAAGAAGAGTGGACACTTTAGAAAATGAAGCAAAATCTGTCCAGTTGCAAATAGCTGAAGTAAGCCAATATTAACAGATTTACATAGGTATCTTAGTGCAGGAATTTCAACAATCTAGCCACTTTGGGGATACACTTTAACCTCTCTATTATGCATGCTATCTTAAAGAAAATCAACAGCAGATCACTACAATATAACAGCACAGATTAAAGGGATATAAATGAAGTAACCAAGAATGTAGATACCATTTTATGCTGTTTTTCGCACATTAATAAGAAAAGGATCTTCACTTTGTGCCATTTCATTTAGGCCAAAACCACACTGAAAGTATATGAGATCAACAGAGAGAGGCTGAAGACATTTGTGGAAGATGCAATAGAAGAAAACAAACACCTTCATGAAAGTGAAAAACAGGTATGCTTTTCTCTGCACCTGTAGTTTTTTTTAAAAGGAAAAAACATATTCCTTAAAATGACTCACCCAGTTTGAAGTACTGTTAGGCAGTGGTGCTCCTGTTTAAACTACACCATAGTCAGTGAAAACTGAACAAAGCAAAAGGAAAGTGTTGCAGGGGAAATGGTTCAGCTTTATGATTTTGCGTTCTGTGGAATAAATCAATTGAGTACTTCATCCTTTATGATAGGAATAGGCAATCCATGACCCTCAGACAAATTTCAAAAGGGCTCTGTAATGAGTCAGTTGAGAATTTGGGGAAAGGTGACCTGTCTTCACCTAACAGCTTATTTTGTGGGAAGGAAGAGATGGAGGGAGAAGGAAACGAAGTGGCAGAGAAGAAAAGGACTAGTTCTTTTTTTCATTTGGCTTTGTCATCACCTACTGCTGGCTTTGCTCTGCCCATTACCAGCATACAACCCTTGACAGATTATCTTGTGAGAAGCACACTCCTCAGTAGTCTTTGTAAGATTCCCTATCTTTGCTGTTTGGGAAATTTGATGCTCCAAGCTTTGTGGAATATTTTTGAATTAGTTGCTCCCCCAATTTTTGCTTGTATTATTCTCACAATTGTGTGTGAGACGTCAGACTAGGTGCACCTTGTGTTCTCAGAGCCAAAATCTTGTTGGCACGAAGTTACACCACGCAGGCTGGATGGCAATCTTCATCCAACACCAATAATACTTAACTTAAATGAATTGAAAACTTCCTATTCCACCTTCCAGGTTCCAAGGGCTCCATTTTGTACTGGAAAAGCTTTTGGAAACCACAGGACAGGAAGGAGCCTTTAATACTCAAAAATTGCTGACAGATTGCCACCAGCAGTCCTAATCCTCTTGGCAGTAATCCAGTGGCAATTCTTTCACATTGTTGTAGGTTTCCTGCTAAATCGTGTAGCTCCCAAAAGCTTCCTCGGTGTCAAAGAGGACCCTAGGAAGCCTTGGAAACTGAAATAGGGCCACAGGAAGCTTTCAGTTAATTTAAATTCTTACTGGTGCCAGCTTATATTTTAATTGGTGCCATCTTTCACAATGTAACTTTACACTAGAGGATTTTGTTACATTTTGTTACATTTTCACCTTGCTTTCTTTAGTAAAAGGCGAAAGATTTATACGATCTGAAGAGAAACCTTGCTTTCCATTACTACATGTTCGAGGTGCCTTACAGTTATAAAACATAATAAAAGTAGAAGTTATAAAAAGGTTTAACCATAGAATTATTAAAATCAAATAAGACTAAATAATCATAGTAAAACTCATTAAAATCAATTAAATCTAGAAGCAGTTCAAACTTCACAATAAATTAAACAACAGGTAAGCCAATTTTAAAAGTCATCATATCCCTTCTAAAAGCGGTGAGAGTGGACACCGATGGCAAAGCTGAGGGATGTTCTGGTCAAACAGGGCTTTGTTGACAGTCTCAAGCCTCTTCTGATGGAGAGATCTGGGTAGGTATACAGAGAGAGATAAGGTGATCCTTTAGGTAGTCCCTATAGTTCTAGCTTAGGGGTTGTTAATGACAGTCTGGAGTACAGGCAGTACTGTACTATCACCAAGAACAAAAATGTCTGGTACATCCACTGAAGCTGTCAAGCAAGGAGAGACAATAGTCCCAGGATGCAAAATGGGCATCAATACTTTATTTAAAGATAAGCCCAACTTGTTTCAGCTATTGCACTTCAGCCTTCTTCAGGGGCACCGATGTTATGCTTATGTCGAATCTGTCTCTGAGGATATCTTTTGTGGACAGTTTCTCACTCCTTTTTGGAAAGGAAAGCATTCCGGTCGATTTACAATTTAATTATACAGGCTACACATTGCCCCCCCAGCAAGCTGGGTACTCATTTTACTGACCTCGGAAGGATAGAAGGCTGAGTCAACCTTGAGCCGGCTACTTTTGTGGACAATTTCTCACTCCTTTTTGGAAAGGAAAGCATTGGGATTATCTTTGAATAAAGTACTATCACCAGCCAGTTTTTTTTTCTGCTCTGAATTTTTAGCTTTATGTTGGTCAGAATAGTCTGTTCTTTGTTTTTTTTAAAAAAAGTTTAAGAAATGTGGATTTATATGTAATTTTTTCCCTTAAACTTGCTGTCCAAAATTAGAATGTAGAACTTCTCTCCTAATTTTTCTTCTCTCCTTCTCTGTTATAACATACGCTGTTTTCTTCCATCTTGGAGAAAAAACTTCCTTTTCTTTTTTTTCCAATTTATGAAAATTATGTTATATGTTAGGGTATATATATATTTGTTTTATATTGTGTGTTGTAAGCTGCCTAGCGTGGTCATAATTGACCAGATAGGTGGGGAATAAATAGAATAAATAAATAAATAAATAACAAACAAACAAACAAACAAACAAACACATGTTTGAGTTAAACAGATTTTGGTGAATTATTGAGCCAATGTTAAGAGTTTAGGGTGAAGCACAGACCTTTTTGAATGAAATATAATTTAAATCTAATAATTGTATGTTCTATACTAGGTACTTATCTTGCAGCATTTTTCTTCCAGCTATTACAGGAAGCTGAAGGATGGGGTGAACGATTTAGTGAATTAAATGAACAAGCAAAAATGTTTGAATGTTCTAAAGCGGATATGGAGGAAGCTCTTAAAAACAAGGAAAGTCAAGTCAAGGTAAAAATACTATGTGCCAGAAATGGGTAGCTATATTGGCATGATATAAATTATGTTAAATTAATTTTAAAAGTTTCATTCCTGGTTTGTTTGTTTCATATTGTATAGTCACTGACTGAATGCTTGTTGAAGATGAAGGACTGGAGTGGCGCAATAGGAGAGAATGATGTTGCTGAAGACAGCCATTGGGAGAATATTAAAAGTGAAACTGAAAATGGAGAGCATTTAGGTAAATTATTATTTCTTTGTTTTGTGAAACAATAAGAAAAAGAATTATATTTTCAGTTTTTAGAAATGTAGCCTACTGCTTGTGCAGATTTGTCTGCATCAACAAAAATAATAATTGTGTGCCCTCAAGTCAATTCTGATAATTCTGACTAATTGCAAACCTTTCCAAGATTTTTTGTGTAGTGAGTTCTCAGAAGTGGTTTATCATTCCCTTCTTCTGGAAATCCTCTGGAACTGTTCAGCTTGCAACACAGGCTGGCTCTACTGCTAGGAGACAAAGTAAGGGATCAAACTCAAACCTCTGGCCCTGCAGCTAGATACATAATCCATGGAGTTATCCATGAAAGGAATCCAAATAAATCAGTGGCGTCATGACAGCCTATTTAATTCAGTGGATAAAATGTGGTTTCTCCCAAGCTTTATGTTGGCATTTAGTGGATCTCTGAATACTGCATTTCTGCTAAAATCTGTTTGGAACAGATGTGCTCAAACAAGCATTCCTTTAATAAAAGGACAGAACTCCAAGTCATTAAAACCTCTCCCACTTTACCTCCTGCCTAATAATCAGAACAGATCAGTAACAGTCTCTTCTCATCCTTGTCATTAGCCTGTGAATAAACAGCCCACACAGAACAGTCAGGGATGTTAAGCACATATCTTGCTTTGAACTGATTGAACATATCAGAATTATGAATGCTTCCCATCAAAGCACTTTAATATGCAAAACAAAGAACAGGCTTTGGACTTCCACATTGGCTTTTATATTATAAAGCCGTGCTCTAGTTTGGATAAAGGAATGGATAGTTTTAGAAAATGACAGAATATTAAAACTAGAAGGACATGATTTAAATCTAGGATGGCATGCCTTCCTATGGTATAAAAAAGTAAAAAACAATTTAAGAACCATCTGATAAGAAAAGTGTAAAATGGGTATGGACCAAGATCCGAGAAGAAAATTACCAAAAAGTTCCTGAATGGGTCTCACCAATGGAAGCATTTACACAACGAACATTAATGGAAAAGATGAAACTTTTGTGATATACAGGCGTACCTTGGTTTACAAAATTAATGTGTTCTCCGGAATGTTCCGAAATGTGGATTGCCATAGGAACAGGGTGGCGCTACAAATTTCAAGGCACAATGCATCCTGGGAAATTTTTCTTCTCGGACTGAAAAAAATGGGGGAAAGGAAACTGAGGCATTGTTTTCAACGGATTTTGGTTCGTAAACCAAAAATTACATTAACTGAGGCATTCGTAAACTGAGGTACACCTGCAGAGATTTGTTAAAAGAGGACTTTAGCATGAAATAAAGGGAAGAACTAGAAGAACAAGGTGCAATACTTGATTGGTGGACAAAAACACAAATAGATTCAAGATATGCAAGAGATAAAGCAGTAGGCTTTTGTAAGGAGCAGACACCATTGGATAAGATACTTCTGACTGTAAAAGAAAAGCTGATTAAAATGTTGTATAATTATCTACTAGAATTAAAAACGCAAGATGAAACAGTTAAAGAATGCATGATAAAATGGGCCCAAAATGTGGGCCATACTATTAACTTAAAGTCATGGTCACAAATATGGGAAGGTAATATTAAGCTTACAAAAGCAATTAATTAAAAAGAAAATATGTATAAGATGTTCTATAGATGGTATATGATACCTGAAAAATTATCAAAAATATATCAAAGTACCTCTAACAAATGTTGGAAATGCAAATCAAAAGAAAGTAGTTTTTACTTGGACTTATAGGGAAGAGTTTTTGGAAACTAGTCAATGAGTTTTTCCAAAAAAAAAGCTTATCCCCTATAATACCATATGAACCTGAATTGTTTTTTTAATATAATACCAGACTCAATAGAAAAAGAAAAAAGATATTTGATCATACATGTAACTACAGCAGCAAAAATTTTATATGTCAAATATTGGGGAAAAAGCCATCCAAATCTCCTTCCCTATGATCTTCCCTTACCCAATGTAAAATGAATTTTAAAAAAGACAAGAAATATGAATGCTTTCCTGAAGTTTAGTCAGATCAATTCTCTGTGTTGTCTTCCCTGTCTTACTTTCTATTTAGAAATCAAGAAGCAGCTTTTGGGTAGTGGGGGTGGGGCAAGGTAGGAATATTTAGCACTTAAAAAGAATAAATGCTTTCCCTAAAATCCAGGAAGTGTTTTCTGTAGTTTATTTTTGTTTATTTGTTTTTATCTCTCTCTTTTTTTGCCAGATGAGCAGGAAAAACGAACTGTGAGGAAGTTGATTTATGCTGCAAAGGTAATTCATTGTTTGTTACACGATCTTTCAAAATTTGTAAAGAGGAGCAAAAGAAAAAAAAATCCTAGGTCTGCACTTATCAGTCCATGGTACATGTCTTACAGCAGTGGTAGCATTTATGAGAGTATATATTAATACTTCCTATATTTTATTACTGACCTTGGAAGACTTTTTATGTTAATGAGTGGGTGCAAATTCACTAAATCAAAACATATTTTATTGTCACTAACTTTGTTTTCAAACTTCTTTTCAACATCATTGATTGGATCCAGAGTTGTTGTTCTCAAAGCAAAAATGGTCAATTCACAGAACATATCTTAGATGACATTCCTGCTGGCAGGCAGAAGTGAAGTGGTTGTTATTAATTCTTCACCATTACAGCCTATAGAATCAGTCATATTACACTGGAAAAGGTCTACCCTTCTTGTGTGTTTTTTCAGTAAACTGAGGGGGAGAGAATCCTCCCAAATCACTTCTCTCCACCTCCAAGATTAATGTCTTGATGAAAGAAACTGCAGATCCAAGCCAGTGCTTTTGTTTTTTACAAAGATCATTTTTCTTTCTTTCTTTCTTTCTTTCTTTCTTTCTTTCTTTCTTTCTTTCTTTCTTTCTTTCTTTCTTTCTTTCTTTCTTTCTTTCTTTCTTTCTTTCTTTCTTTCTTTCTTTCTTTCTTTCTTTGTGGAGTCTCTCTTCCAATTATAATCCTATATGTTTAATTTTTTTTCTTTAGTTAAATGCTTGTCTAAAATCCATGGAAACAGAAAGAAATCAAGTATATTCAAAACTAAGTGATGAAAAGAAAGCAAAAGAGGAACTTTCGGGTAATCAATGTTTCTATACTTTTTAAATGCATGTTAAAAATAAGGAAATCCTGCACAGACTGCTTTCTGTTAATTTTAGATTTTAGCAAACCCTTTACTTAGGAGTTTAGCAGGAGTTTAGAAATTTTTAAAATGATATTGGATTACTGAGGGAAGTAAGACTTGGTTTGAAATTTACATTGGTAAGCCATGTGTATGTCTTTCTACCTCTACATCTTGTTCCAGCATGGAAATCGGAATAAATTTGTGATATAATGCTGATTACAGGCTAGATAGAGAGCAGACATTTGTTTTTTTCAAGCTCTTCTGTCTTTGCTTTCCCACCCCGGAAAGTTCTTATATTTAGTTCCTGAAGAAGTAACAGAAAAGAGAGATTTAAAAATACCGGTCATGTACCTTTGTTGGCATGGCTATTATCTTTATGTTGCTACGATGCACTTAGTTTCAGTAGTCTTAGTGCTGTTTAGTGAGACATCAGTATTAAGCCTGTTAGGTTAGTAAAACAAATGCCATCCATTGAGAAGTTTAGCATGAATAGCATGTTTATTTAAGTTGGCTCTGATCTTCAAGCAGACAAGTCTATGTCCTGACTACATTAGAATATAATGTAAGGTGACTGTATTCAATTTTCAAAATGGGTTTTCATTGCTTATGATTTTAAATTGTCAATTACTTGCAATTAATTCTCTATTTTTGACAGAACGCATTGAAAGTCTACAAAAGGAACATGTTCTTTTGCAGTCTGAAAATAGAGACTTTGAAAATGAATTTCAGAAGCTTCAGCAGAAGCTTAAAGTCATGACAGAGCTGTATCAAGAAAATGAAATGAACCTTCACAGGTATTGATATAATTTGGTTCACTGCTTTAACATTGATTGATTAATATTTGATTAATTCAGTTATTTCTTAACACTTGACTCTAGATGGTGTGCTATAATGTACATGCAAAACAAAACTGCCAGATTATTTCACTAGTTTATACTCTTCTTTTGGTATAGGCTAGTATTAATGTTTAATTTATCTCTTTTCCCTTCCGGATCTTGTGAATTAGTCTTAGCACAATCTAATTTCCATCCTAGTTTCTGTCTCTGAAGGACACCGCACATGGTTGGAATCCTTTTGCACAGTTACAAAAAAAGGCATAGTTTTTAGAGGTAGGTCGCCTCAAGGTAAGAAATCTTCATAGACATTATCATTTGCATGCCAGCTCACATAACTTGGCTTGCAAAAGATAATACCACCAAAGATTTCTTAACCTGAGACAATTTGGCTCTAAAAGTTGAGCCTTTTTTGTAGGTACACAATAGGATTTCTACCATGCTATCTGGCATACATGCACTTTTTCCTTGTTTTGTGGTAACTTTTAGTAAACTATTGTTTAAACCTCATTTTAAAAAAATACAACATACATTTCCAGGGCTCTTTTTTCTACACTGCTTGTACTTATTTTAATGTTCTGTATATTTAGAATTTCACATATTGACATTTGGATCATTGAGTTCTGTAATCAGTTCCTACATGAACTTGGATTTATTGATCAGAGTTGTGTTGAAAAAAATTATACGGAATGGTAATTGTGCATCATGTAATTCCTGCTTCCACAGCCATATAATAGACATCCTGCAAGGAGAGGAACCACTTATATGTTAGTATTGGCCATTGCACAATCATTTGTAAATAAAAACGGCACTTAGTGAGGTGTGGTGGATCAGGCCCACGTGTGTTGCGCAGGTGACCTGGGGTCTTTACCCTGCCTTCTCTCATGGGTGTCCACTCAGAGGAGGAGGTGGGGCAGGGAAGCTTGCAGCACTGCTTCTGACAGGATGCCTGTGGGAGGAGGGAGGGGGCAGAATCCAGGGCACCTGCACAACACCTGTGGGCTTGATCTGCTGAACCCCCAACTGAGGTAGGTGCTCATCTCTATTTCAGAACATATTGAGTAAGTTCTTTTACAGTTCAGCCCTGTGTGTGTTTAGTGGGATTTGCTGCCTGGTAAGGATTGCAACTTTAAAGCCATTCAAGAATTTAACACTGGTTTTATTATCGCTTATTTTTCATTTGCTGATCAGTTTATATGAAAAAAAATGCAGAAAACTCTATTTTTGGTTTTTTTTTTAAAGAAATGACTTTGTGGTGATGATTTCCTTAGGAGTTGTGATTAATAACAGGCTTAATTTTTTGAAAGGAAATTGACTGTAGAAGAAAAAGAGCGTTTGCAGAAAGAAGAAAAGCTTTCCAAGGTTGACGAGAAGATCATTCATGCTGCTGAAGAACTGACTACTTATCGGTAATAATATATTATGTTGGTATTTTCTGCTATTGAATGCTGGAAATTTTGCTGAGAACTAGACTGAACAACGTGTAAATTGTTAAAAATTAGTAAGGATATAATAGGTGAGCAAGATAATGTACTCCCATTTTCAGGCTGCTTTTGTTAGCTTTGCAGAAAAGGTGGACATGAACATTTACCCAGCAAGCTATTGCATTGCGTAGTAAGCACAGAGAAGGAATGCAAAAAACCCCATTATTCTTGTAGCCAAAACAAAATAAAAGCTTTGATGAATGACAGATTAAACTCTTAAACTTGTTAATCACAGACAAGAGTCAGTAGTAAAAGGCGAGAGAAATAGGGCCAGATTCCTAAATACAGCATTTTAGTGACTTGCATGAAGGGACAAAGAAAACTATTGTACTAGTTCTTCTAGAAAAATAGGACAACCAAAAAGGAAAACAGGAGGTTTCTTCCAAAAGAGCCAAAAAAATCAAAGGAAAATATAAACCTAGATTAGGGAAGCTGAAGGATCTCGATCAAGTAAAGAGAAGTTGGAAACAATATACCGAAAGCACAAATGCAATGATGTAAGATTCTTTTAAAGAAAATTCTTTAATGAAGAACCTGCAATTTTAAAAAGTCAAACCTGTTCTCAAAGCGCATGGAAGAAAGAAATCAGCAGGAGAAGATGGGATAATGACCCCGTCTCCCTAAAGAGGCCCAGATCACGGTCAGGGAGTCCCTCTGGGCGCAAAACTACAACCTTTATTTCCTGAGGTAGGTCCTCTAGGCCTCAGAAGTGTGTACAGTAGTAAGCCCCATAGGTAAGCCTGAACCCTAAAAGTAACCTTTGATTGCTTCCAAAGCAATAAACCATAGACTATGTGCTTCCTTAGAACACACACCAGCCTTGCAAAGTAGAACAGTAGAACCTTTTAACTTACAGTGGCAACTATTACCATTCTTCCATCCACACTGGATTTAGATATAGTCCTGCTGTAGCAAGACTAGTCCTCTGTTGAAGAATTATTTTTGTTTTATTAAGAAAATAGATTCATTAGCATACATTTGTAGTTTTAAAGCAGAAACACCGAGCATTTTCAGACTGTTACAATGTTTAAATAAACTTACAATTTCTAGTTAAAATAAAAACAGCTAGGTAATCATCCTTGCTCTACGTTCCTACATGTTGACAAGCCTCTGGGTCTCACATTCCACAGCATTCAGCGAACCAAGTTTTTTTCCTTCACAAACCCTCTCATTTTACATATCTTTAGGACTCCTTCTTCATTACATTTTCCAGCTGTCACCCAATTAAGTCCAAGTTGGTGTAACTCAGATCACTCTGATCACCGCCCAAAGTTCTCATGCTCCAGGTTTCAGGTGCCTTATCTTGGTCTTTTGTTTCGTTGTCTTTTCTTGGACCAACATTGTGACTTTGAGAAACAACTCTGCACAATAGGCTCCTGAAAAACATCTCTTTTAAATTCGTCTTACACAGAACCTAACAGACTCCATTTTTGCATGACTGCAATTCCCAGTTTCCTTCCATTTCCTTATAGCAGTCCAGTGGTTTCATGCTACAGAGACTAAATCTGTTAAAATACTACCAAGGCTATGGCATCAAATAAGGAAAACAAAACAATGGCCCACAGACTGGTGGAGCTTGGCATTCATTCCAATCCCAAGGAAAGGGAAATGCCAAGGATTGTAGTAGCTATAGGACTGTTGCATTAATTTCCCATTCAAGCAAAGTGATACTCATGATTTTACAACTTGACTAGTTTTACCATTTATGGATGGAGAAAGACTTGCCTAATGTCCAAGTTGGATTCCAAAAAGGAAGAAACTTTAGATCATATTGCAAATATAGGTTAGCTACTGGAGCATATCTAAGAATTAGAGAAATAAACAGTTTGTATTTTGGGGGTTATAGTGAAGCCACTGACTGTGTAAATTAGTGGTTCTTAACATTTTCTTTACCACAAGCGCCATTTAAATATCTTTTGTGTTGCAGACCTAAAGCGCATCAAATATTTACTTAAAGTTTCTCATGAAGGGTCTCGTCAAAAGATATTCCTTGCTATAACAACAGCACTTTTTAAGATGGCTGGAAGAAGCTTCATTTTGCATTGAACAGGATGCATTGTCATCAACAGCATCAGTTCTTTTACGTTTCAAATTCAGCCGGCAATCCATTCTGAGGCTCAGACAAAATGTATTGTTACGAAATTCATGGCAATATCAAAAACTCACTTTACCCGACAGTAACTAGTTTTATTAGCAGAAGTCAAAGAAGAACACAATCACATAGTCTTTCTGAACACTCATTCACACTGACTCCAGCTTTTGCTTCCCACAGCTTCTGACTGTCTGCTAGGTAGCCAGAAATGGCATGTGCTGTCTCTCAGCTACTCAGCATCACTCGCTTGCATGTTCTCATCATGTGCAGAAATAGCAAACAGTTATTTACTATCAAACAATTATTTTCATAACCAGTTTTTAGTTTTGTTTCTTTTTAATGAAGGAGGTGGGTTAGGAAAGCCAAGTTTTATACAAACAAACAAGGGAAATTAAGATTTTGTTCTACATTTCCTTTTCATTAGTGCATTCTTTCATTCATTCTTTCTGTTTTAACTGCAAAAGATCATAAAACTTCCTCAAGCCTTTGTGGACCCCCTGTGAGGACATCGCAGCCCCTGAGGGTCTATGGACCACATGTTAAGAACCTAAGGTGTACATTATAAAAAAGCTTTGGATTGTTCTAAAAGAACTTGATGTTCTACAGCATTTGCCCTGATGCATAATCTATACAGTAGACAAGAAACTGCAACTAGAAGAGAATATGGAGAAACATTGATACACAGTTTTCAAAGGTGTTAAACAAGGATGATTTTTGTATCTCTGTCTATTTAGTCTATGCAGAACATATGTGAAAACCGGATTAGATTCAGAGGAAGAAGGAGACAAAATGATTCTCTCTCTTTCACATCAATAAAATTTTGTAGACAGAGTGACAAAGCTAAGTGATCATGGTGGAAAGATCTGTTCTATTCTGATAGCGATCTTTCGAATAGTGCTCTGCCTTGTAGAATAGACTTTATGATGAGTTTAGATTCTTTTTTAATTTAAGTGACTCAGCATTGACATTTCTTGGTGAGCCTTTATCTGATTTTAAATAATTATCCTTGGTTTGTAATAATTCCATTATAGACAGCGGGCAAAAGATCTAGAAGAAGAACTGGAAAGAACAGTTCGCTCTTATGAGAATCAGGTATGTGTATATTATTTTTTTAATAGGTACAAGATGTTATAGTTGACTCGAAACTTTAGAAAAGCTGCCAGATTGAAAGTACCCTTCTACTTTGTGTATTCTCTTTGGTGAGAATCCTGTTAGGGATTTATAACAGTGCAAGCATAATTGTGTAAAACTCCATGATGAATTATTATTAATTAAGAAGATCTGCATGATCAGGGCACAGCAGGTGGCAACTCATTAATGTGTTGCTGCAGTTTCCCAATGTAAGTCTTCAGTAGAATTCATCCTAAACATGAAACTGAAATTCATGTTCAGGATTTCAGTTTCATGATGTGATCCTAAGCTTATTTACTCAGAAATAAAATGCCATGTGGAGTGGGTGTCTTTTACTTAGTCATGGTCCATGGCCCACCTGTGTCTGGGGCTAGTTCATTAGTCTGAATTGCTGAGAACTTTGTATGCTGATTAGGAGGGCAAAATATTGGGAATGAGACAGACACAGAAAAAAAGAAACAAACTGCAAAAAAAGGTGTAGCAAAAAAAGAAAAGAGTATAGGAAGGAAAAGAAGCAGGCAGGAATATTGCAAAACAAAAGGAAAAGTGCAGCATAGTGTGCAGAGATCCATGGGTTGAACTAATAAATTTGTTTTCTTTTAACAGATTATGTAGCATGAGAAAAAAGCTCATGATAATTGGGTAAGTTGCAGATAGAAGAACTCTTCTGTTTCTCTGAAAAGTACAGTGAACTGCTTAGGGTTGTCAGCCTAGTGTTTGCTGCTTTTCAGATGTGCACCTCTGGAGCAGGGGTGGCCAGTTGTTGCCTCCTAATGTTTTCGATCTGGAACCTCATTCAGCCCTAGCCAGCAAAACCATAATTGTGTGAGTTAAAAGTGCAAAAACATTTGGAGAACCACAGTTGTCCCCCCATGATTGAGATTTTTTGAGTATGTGTATTTGCATCTCTCTTGTTGTAATGGTTTTAAACAGCCCCCCCTTCAAATCTGGTTCTTTAAATTCTAAAGGTATATTTTTGGCCAAGGAAATCGAGAAGCCATCTGGGATTGTTGCAAATCCAGATGCATACATGGTTTTTATTTCAGCTTCTCTCTTACTTGTGATTGTAATAATTTGTGTTAAAAAACAGAAATTTGATGATTTACACCCCCCAAAAAAATTCAAACTTGTGTTTTTAAATGAGTTATCTATTTCTTTCACTTGAGGCAAATGTCTCTAAAGTCTTGATGCTATTCAAGATTCCCTCTAAGGTGCACACATGACTCCACCTCTGTGCAGCTATCGTTTTCAGTCCCTTTGGTTGCGATCAATACAGAACCGCACGTGTGGGAGGCTCTCTCATGCGCAGGGGTGATGTGCGTGAGAGAGGCAGAGCCTCGCCCAGTGGGGCTGAAATTAGAGGGTACTTTGATGCTACTAATCTGTCCCAGTGGAGCATAAGGTCAGCCAGAAGGCTCTTAAAGCTGTTCTGTGGCACTTCAGAAGGAGAGGGGGTAAAGTCTTCTCACATTCCTTATTAATAAAGGGGGGGAGGGTCATCAGATTGCCCTATTTAGTGCCAGTACAGATTTATCCAGATAAAAAGAGGTAAATCTTGGTTGCCTCTTTGAGGCAAATAAGCTGTGTCTCAGAAGTGCAAGCTTATATCATTAACAGCAAGCTATATGACCATGGGGACGTGGTGGCACTGTGGGCTAAACTGCAGAAGCCTTTGTGGGCTGCAGGGTCAGAAGACCAGCAGTCGTAAGATCGAATGCACGTGATGGAGTGAGCTCCCGTCGCTTTGTCCCAGCTCCTCGGCATCCTAGCAGTTCGAAAGCATGCAAATGCGACTAGATAAATAGGTACCATCTTGGCAGGGAAGGTAAAACAGCGGTCCCTAGTCACGCTGGCCACGTGGCAATGGAAACTGTTTTTGGACAAGTGCTGGCTGTACTGCTTAAAAATGGGATGAGCACTGCCCCCTAGAATCGGACACGACTGGACTAAAAATGTCAAGGGGAACCTTTATCTTTACCTTATATGACCATGGATGTTCTTAGAGTTAGTGGTTATGTTTCCTGAGGGATTCTGAGGGTTGTAGTCCATGAAAATAAGTTTTCTTAAGTCTGGATGCTATAAAGTACAATTCCCTCTGAATCAAATATTTTCAGAATCAATTGTTTTGAACAGCATTTGGTCTCTGCTTATAAAAATGACACTTTAATTTATTTTGGCTTTGTTTCAGTATAGTTTTAATGATTAATAATGGCTGTTCTCTGCTCCCTTTTTTCCTAAATGATAAAATGTACTGTTCTATGATGATACCATTGCATCAGTGGTACACAATGTTACTGTAGGATTAATCTTTCAATCAAGACAAGACAAAACTCCACCCCTTTCCACTATTAAAAACACTCCAGTTAAGAGACTCACATGAATGAAATCCAAGGATTTGTCCACACGGCAGCTTCTTCCACAGCTGAATTACTGTGGTAGCACAAGTTGTGAAGAAGGAAACTGGCATTGATGGTTTATGCAACAATAACTATTGTGCATGCTGTCCCCTCTGTTAATCATGAGAGATTATGTTCTATTGCTTTTTGCTAGTAACAACAGGTGTGCCCTAGCACTTCTGGGTATCAGCACTGTTGATGTTTATTTACTCCATCTGGGAGCCATGGTTATTTTTTTTTCTGGTTTATGTATCATTTGCAAATCAAACTGTTATCAACTGTGAACAAATTTTAAAAACATATGTGAAGTTACCATAAAATATGAAGGCACAGTTGTAATCTCAGAACGAATCTGTGCCCACATTTTAAAAGCTGTTGCCCTTATCCAGGTATTTACATTTAGCTAAATGGACATGCTAATTGCCAGTGTATGCAGTTCCGTTTATTTAACTGCATCGACTCTACTTGTGTCTTCATAGTCATCAAAATGAATGGGAAGGGTCTTATGGAGAGAGTACTTGCATCAGTGTTCTAGTTCTCCCTTTTCTATCAGTAGTTATTGGATTGGATCTTTTGTAACTAAGAAAGAGCAGGCAACAGGGTAATTAAAAGCCAAGCTTACATTCTGTCATAAATTGTGACCATGTTTCACCACTCTCACATGCATTGTTATAAGCAGAGCTTTGGAATAGGGCTGTTATTCAGAATCCAGTTACAGAAAGGAAGCAGGTGTGCTCCTTTAGTGTCATTTAATTATATTGGACCTTCTGATAGACTTAGGAAGCAAGTAAAAAAAGTTACCAACTTGCCATTGGAAGTATTACTAGACTTTACAGAATTGGACTATGTGATTAATCTCTCTCTCTCTCTTTAATTTATCTCTCTAATTTGTCTGTCTATAAAAGCTGGCAGCTCGGGCTGCTGAAAGGCATCTCAATGATATAAAAAAAGAAAATTTGCACGATAGACAAAAGTAAGTATAAAAGTTTTCATCTTTTCAAGTAATGTTTTAGTTTGTAGTTTTGCAATACTAAAGATTCATCGGGCCAATCCCTTTGTAAATTGTAGAGTAAGTTTTTTATACTTTTATAGTTTTTTATACTTTTAAATATTCATTGTAATACTTCAAGTAAGCTTTGTCTGAGCAGATTGTAAACCAGTGGTAAAATGCTGAATATTCAGGCACTGGAAGATGGAACCTAGTTCTACTTTTTCAAGGGCCACACTCAAAATATGTTCCCCTGAGTGTCTGAATGCAGTGTGATAAGAAGAGCTGGGATCTCTGCCTCACTCCTCACCCCAATATTTACTGATTTTCAATCCCCATCTGATTCAAGCTTGCACACCACTTCTGATGCAGTTCTGAAGGGTCCTTTGCTTTCAAGAGCTGTTCTTGGGAGGTGTGCAAGGGACTGTATCAGGAGAAAAGAAAAGAAAGCCATGTTGCATATATCACTTTGGCTTCTTTGGATCACATCTTGATCCAGAGAAGGCTTGAGAGGGAGGTCATCATAGCCTGGGATGTTACAGTATTCCAAGTGCGTGTATGGGTTACTTTGACAATGTAAACCTTTGCATTAAACAGCTTTAGTTATTTAAACAAAGCTCCCAATCGAATCATTAGTTCTTATAATTAGTTTCATTAACTGAGATCAACTTCTGCCTCAGCTGAATAATTGAATCTTAGAAAGAAGAGTTATGGTGGATTATAATGTTTTGTTATTTCCTGCAGATTAACAGAAGCAGAATTTAAGTATGATCTTTTGGAAAAAGATCCCTACGCTCTTGATGTTCCTGTTAGAACATTTGGCAGAGGTACCGTATCTTAGTAAATATGCATTGTAGTATATAGTGAGAGCCTGAATAAGTTTACTGAAATGCTTAGGGAAACATAGCTGGTTCTTCATGCATGCAGACATCATGTCCATTTAATATAGCACCAACAGCATATATTGTTTCAATTCCCAGTATAATCTTCCCTTTGCTTTTACATAACAATCTGAATTATTACCTGAAGGTTCCTAGAAATAACTTATTTGGCTGTTTTGTTCCATGGTTGATAACAAAAGTCAGCCAATTTACTTTCTTGAGTCCCAGGTTTTAAATTTAATAACTGAAATGATCAGTGAACTGTTATTGTGTATATACACCCAATAACGCTAACCTTGTGAATTTTAGTATTTTGTTTTAACTATTCCAGAGCATTCCCCATATGGACCCTCACCAATGGGCAGACCTTCATCTGAAACAAGAGCTTTTCTTTCCCCCCCAACTTTATTGGAGGGTCCCTTAAGACTTTCACCTGTGCTTCCAGGTGGGGGAGGAAGAGGTACAATTCTTAAATTTGAACATTTAAACTATTATGAATTCTCTCTCCTCTTAGTCTATCCCTCCTTTCTTGGTGATGGAACTGTGAAAGTATACTAAAAAGAACCCTTGTAATCTTAATCTTGAATCATAATTATCCACTTAAATTACATTTAGCATATGAGCAGCAGCATTTTCACCTTTAGGATTTTATCTGTTAAAAAATATTTGTGTGGAATTATGGGGTGGATCCAAAAGTACCCTTCGACACATAGAACATGTATTCTGCTTGTGGAAGGTCTCTTTTAACCCCAGCTACATTTTTTCTGATATAAATAAAATCAAAGCCATGTTTCTGCTGTGCTCATGCAGTCATCCGGAGAACAATGATTGTGGCTGTTTAACTTCTGTTCACAGTTTCTTTGGATGCAGCCCTCTTATTTCGAGGTGAGCAAGCAAGACACTTTGGATAGTTTTCTGTTTTGATAAATTACTAAATGCTAGTCTGGGATTTATTTGTTCAAATTACAGGGTTTTTTTACAGCTCAAGTGTGGCCTTGAGATGGGTGTCTGAACAAAGACGTTTGTTCTTGTGCAAACTAAATTTTTAAAAAATCTGTATATTTCATTTAACTAATGAAGGTGAACTGAGTGGCACATTTTAAAGCTAAAGAAATAAGGTAGATAGGAAGAGTACTGTACAAGTATCACAACTTGTAGTCCAAATGTACAAGCCTATTTGTAATTTGAAGCAGAAGAAACAAAGAGTTTTGTTCTTAATTGATGAAAATTGACAGCATGCAGTGAATAATTTCAGGAATTATTTCTTTTTTCTAGGTTTTATTAGAAAAGACAGGAGATATCAGTCTTCTGGCTTTAAAGTAGAACTGCACTCTGAAATAGCTGACATACTGTACATAATCTGAACTACTATACTGTAATAGTATAAGTGAAAGATTTAACCATACCTGTATTTCAGTGCAGTACAAAGCCACACTTTAGAAGCATGTCAACAGCTTGACTGGATCATTAGAAAAGCAAAACACTCAAATGCCATTTGAAATAGTGTTCTACTAGTTTAATAATTCGTATTTTTCTAACTTTAAAAAATGTCCAATAATTTCTTCCAACCACCTTCTTACTTTAAATGTATAACTTGTGATTTAAGCAGGGAGGCAATTGAATTTCTTGAAGTCTGTTCAAGCAGCCTGGGGAGGGGGAAACCAGGAACAGGCTTTGAGGGAGAGAAAAAAATCTTTGCCAACATGTTGTCAGCACTGATTAGATTCATGAAAAGGCTTTAACATTCTTTCTTCCTTTCTTTCTTTGCTTGGTGAAAGGAATCTGAATATAATGTAGACTTTGTTTCAACATGGTTAGTTTTTTTGTCTCTCCTAGCAGCTATCTTAATACTTGCTGTTCTGTTTTACTGGTTGAGCCCTTAACACTCTGCTGGAAGCAGTGGAAGCCTTCAGATTGTAAAAGGAGGAAGGAGCTTCTGAGGGCCATGTGTCATGTTTTCTCATCTCTGAATCAGCTGGTTCTGTCATTATAACCATGTTTTATCAGCTCCTGTGGTTTGCAAGAAGGAGTTCTAAAGTTTTGCTTCCATTTTTGATCAACTGTACCTTGTTTTGTATGAACCCAACGAATGGTGACCAGTGTTTGCTTTTCATTTTAAGTGAGCTAGCTTCAGACCATCAATTATGATCATTTCAGCCAGCTACGGTAAAGATTAATTGGTTCAGTAAAAGCTGTGGTTAATCATGACAAAAAGCAAACGAGGTGGCCTTGCAGTGGTGGTGCAGTCAGGGAAAGGAAGGAGAGGGAGGAACTGAGTGTCAGGTACACACCATACCTCTTTGGATAAAACATGGTTTATTATGACAATATTTGAATACACATTTTGGATTTTCATTGAATTTATTGTCCTAGGCTCAGTTAAAACTAGTCCAATTGATGTTTCCATGATTTAATCCATTGTAATTTGTTCATTTAGGATCCAGAGGACCAGGGAATACCGGCACATATGATGTTGGCAATGAAAGAAGGGAGATAAATTCTGATATGTTATCCGATCCCCACAGACCACCTTCTGACACTGGATCTTTGTCACCTCCATGGGATAGAGATCATAGGATAATTAGCTCTCATACAGGTAAATAAATATATTGCATCGTTATTTCATAAACATTTTATTTCTTAAATGACAATATGAAAACAGTGCAGGGGTCCATTTTGCATGTGTCCTTGCTAACTCAGCTAGCAATATCATAGCTTCCAGACCCAGAGTTTTGTAGTGTTTCAGAATATTTTATTTCAGAATGGCACAGTATGCACATTGTAGTGATCCTAATAATTCTGCTATGGATTCCAACACTATATAGAGTCAACGGTAGAGGATTTTCATAAGTGTAAATTAGATTTCAGATTTCTGTTCTCTGACTAATCAGAATAGATTATTCTTTGGGCTTTGTATCTTCCATAACATAATAGGTACATATAACATTGGTTTATAAGCATTGATGAGTAGTTCTAAGAACATCTACTAAATACATCACACCTTTATTTGAATGATAGGTCAGCTGTATAATGAGCAGCCTCTTCCTTCTCGAAGACCAGAAAGATTTTATCCCAATCACCCAAACTCCGGAAGGCTTTCAGGACCAGCAGAACTAAGGAATTACAACATGCATTCATTTGACAAAGCAGGTAGAGGTTACTGTCTTGGTAAAGAAGTTTACTAAGAAATTGTCTGGAACGGTAATTATCTAGAACTGCAGGGGCTAAAACCCAGGTGAGATTTTAGCAGTTTCTGTTCACTTGTTGGTAAGAAATCAAAGAATGCCAGCAATGACTCTGGTATTTTGAAATTGGCATTCTTTGCCCTCACTAATACAAGCTGTAATCTCTGTTTGTACTATGAAAAACAAAAATTAAAAAACAGCACCTCTAGCATATAAGAAACCTAGGCCCTTTTTCCATTTTCATGAGACTGTTATGTTTTGCTTAACAAAGGCTACATAACTTGATCTTCTTATCAGCTCTGCTCATTCTTGGAGCATTGTGGGTTGTATATCCAGTGGATGTGCAAACAGAAAACAGCTTTTATAAGAGTTGTTCTGGGTTTTTCGGGCTCTTTGGCCATGTTCTGAAGGTTGTTCTTCCTGACGTTTCGCCAGCCTCTGTGGCCGGCATCTTCAGAGGACAGCAGCCGAAAAACCCAGAACAACCATTAGATCCCGGCCGTGAAAGCCTTCGCGAAGATAGCTTTTATAACCTTTCTTTTCCCTGCTGCAGCTTCCGCCCCACTCCCACCCCCTTAAAGCTAACCTAGAATGTTGAGGAGCCTTCATAGATAGTATTTGGGCTGTGTCATATGGGGTTAAATCACAAATTCTCTGACAGCAGTAGATGACATTAGATAGGCCTTTTGGACTGTGCTAGAGGTATAGAGAGAAAGGAAATAAAGGAAGAAGGTTGGTTGCACAAGTACACATGGATAAAATCCATAAATAAATTTGAATTCCCACTAAAAATATTTTTCATTGAAGATGTTTAGCCCAAGATAATAAAATGTTAATACAGGAGTTAAAATAAACCTCACTAACACAAATGATTCTTGTTCTCTGTAGCTGTTGTGCTATTTAAAATGCCATTCTTGGTGGTTGTATGCTGGTTTTCTTGAATATTTTGTATAGTAGCATTAAGATTTATTTGGCTTCAGCAGTAAGACAGCAGTTCAGGCTGGTTGTGAGCAGAAAAAGTACTTCTTTTTGAAGTTTATAGAAGCACTGATACATTCTTACTCAACATGGTGTATAATAGATATGTGAAAACGTTGTGTTTCACAGCAGCCTTTGTTTCTGCACCCATCTGTTCATTGAAGGAAATGTAATGCTAAATGTTAAAGTGCATATCGGTTATTTCTCTCCCCCCCTCCCACATCCAGATGGACTGGGATCTGAGAACAGCTCCAGGATGGACTTAAGTGGAAATGGAATTAAGGATCGTCCCGATGACACTGTAAGCAATAGACAAGATGTCTGAGAAAATACTTTTCACTTTATCCTGTTTGATGGATTTCTTTAGCAGGTTCTTTCTGAGAGTGACTGTTCTTGACTGGTTTTGCTGATTTTTAACTTTACTATAATGTGTCACATAGTGATAAGCAAGATGATACTTTCATGACATTTACAGCACTTCGGGTTGTAACTGTATAACTTGAAAGAGAGGGTGGGCCTCAAGGTTGGGGAGTGAAAGGCCATTGGCTTTTATTTCCCATCCCCGTAACTTGTGCAGAACAGCGTGTTTCCTTCTTTTGTCTGTTTTCCTTTTATCACAGAATATGGTCAATATGATAGAACAGTCCCTTGCACCTGAAACAGAATCCTTTGGGCCTGCAATTGTGCCTCCACCGCTTCCCTTACTGAGAGCTCCTTTGATGCCAATGGACCCAAGAGGACCTTTCATGAGAAGAGGTCCTCCCTTTCCACCAGTGCCTCCCTCTTCTCTATATGGACCTCATGAATATTTTCCAAGGGATTTTTCTGGTCCGCCACGGCCTCTATTGCAAAGTATGTAGTTCCGTCTAGATACAGTACATTCATAGGAAAATGTTTGGAAACCATAATAACTTGTGGCGCAATCCAGAAAAAATTAGGTGCATTTAATATAGTTCCACTAATGGGGCCTACGTTAATTCACCTAAGTAATGGGCCTAAGTAACTTATTCCATCGTTTTTAATGAGATTTAACCAACATTTAATTGCTGATTGTACCTGTAATATTCGAAGTGTACATTTTAATAATGTAAGAAAATTACAATGATTTTCAATGGAAAATATTACTAATCTTACCTGAATGTTTATCGATTTATAGCCATACAAACATTTCCAAAATGTAAAGATGTTGCTGGTAATACTCATTCAGGGAATTCTCTGGGCGGTGTGCTGCTCCTCAGGTGAAAAGACAGTAGGAAAGCTTTGAAAAACCTTCCACAATAGAAGTCTCATGGGTCAAACATAGTGCTGCAGACTTGGTAACTCATTCGAATAGTCTTCTCCTATGGGGCAACCTCTGCAAAGGGTGGACTGCAAGTCCCATAATTCCTAGCCTGCAACTGATAGTCTTGCTGGCTTGGGAAGGATGGGAATTTTATTTGAAAACATCTTGAGGGCATGAGGTGGAGGAAGGCTGCTTTCACAAAATGTTCCTTACAAAGCTGGTCTGAAGCAAAAGCCATTCTGTGGTCAGTAGAGATTGATAAGGCTGAATATTACTGAAGTACAAGTTATTTAAATTTACTGCCCTTTCATGCTCCAGAATTGTTACAGCATCCGTAGCAGCATGTTACTGAAAAACACCAATGTCTTCCCACATTCATTGTAGGTGATGTTGATTTAAGTGGTTGTGATGTGCTATGTGTCCAGTGTTTTGTCAGAAACTAGCTCAACTTTGAATACAAGCTAAACAGCACTTTGCTCATTTTCTTTGAACAGTGAGAGGTCCATTTCCTGTGAGGCCTTTTTCTCAGTATCCTCCAAGGGCTGGATCTTTTCCACCTCAACCCCCACCCTCTGATAACAGAAATGAATTGCCTGCTGAACTAACACATCCGTCAGCTGCAACTTCTACAGATCATCAAGAATCACAAGGAACTTGATTTTAATTAAAGTAACTGTTTTCCTCTAAAATCACCTTGCTGTTAAGTAACTGTTGTTACTTAAGCGACTATATTGTTGCTCAAATTGAAGCTTAATAGAGTAATTCTCAGGAGAGTATTCTGTAAATAATCATTTAAATGTGAATAAACTGATTTGACATTGTATAGAAGCTACTTTTAAATTATTTTTTAATTGGAGTATATTACAAGATGTAAAAATTAGTCATGTGTAAGAAATCTCCAGTTGTTTTTGACTATGTCTGGTCTCATAGAAAATAAATGCATGTGAAGAAAGTAAAACAGCAGATGTGAACAATATTAAAATATTTTAATAATATGTGTCATTTTGACTATTTAACAAAAAAAATGTCTTGTACCTCATCATAACCTTCCATGTTTTCTTTTGGTCTGTCTGTTGACTGGGTATTTTAAACAGTGGCAGGAATCCTTCTACATGTTTTTGCCACAGAGCAACTCAGCTAGCATAAATGTCAACAGTGAATTACCAAAGTTAAGAAACCAGCGTAGCGTTGCTTTTGTGTGATGAATCAGACTCAGAACCCAAATGTCCATGCTGACTTGAGCCAGTTCTCCATTGAGTTTTATGCTGATTCAGTTAAAGTATAAAGTATGAAGTATGACTAATAGGATTCTAGCCAATGAATATTTTAAGGCAAGCATAGTCTCACAACTTTCTTGTCAGTGTCATTTATTTATGTATTTTTAATTAGGCATTAGTTCTTACTGTACCATTCCAGGATATGAGCCCGTATATATATCTTCCTGTCTTTTTCAAAGATGATTAACAGCTGCACTTTGTTTTTCACTGCCTGCACCAGTGCACTGCCGTTTGTGAGTTGGTCTCAAATGTATCCTTCTGTACTGTGTTGTAAATTTTAAAGGCATACAATGGGATTATACGTCCCTGTACTGTTACATGGCAATAATATAAAAGCGGTGCTGTGCCATTCCAAGATGTTCCATTTAATCTAATGGTTGTCTCTTACTGGATCTGCTTCAGTGTTTGCAGAAGATCCCTCACGGGTTCATGAAAATAATAGTCTCTTGCATTATTAATCTTAGAGATTGCTATGTTTTAAGATCTATGAGATTGGTTTATGTAGACAACAGTAGGCCTGGAAGCTATTGTTAGCCTGCAGCTTCCAGTAGATTTTCCAGTTGTAGCCAATGGTGAGGGATTATGAGAACTGCACTTTTAACTCTCAGCAGCATTTGCTTACAAAGGTTCCGTTTAGCTAGGCAGGCTAATGCTGTTCATTTAGAGTTGATTGTAGATCTGTGTCCTGTGTAAAGTTTAGTTCCTGCTTCTTTTAGTTACAGAGACTCTTAAATCAGCAGGCAAAAACAAAAGAAAAATGAAGACACAAATGTTTTGGCACATTAAAGACTACATGCTATATTTTAATGTGAGCTTTTATGGACTAGCTTCCATTAAAATACAGCAGTTAGTCTTTAAGGTGCCACAATATTTTTGCCATTTGTTTGTTTGTTTTTGCCTGAGATGCTAGCACAGACTAATACAGCTACCTCTTCTAAAGGTAGATCTTTCTGGTGCTGAACTGCTTCCACTGGTCTGATGCTATAAGTTAATTTCACCACCACACTGAGCAATTTTTAAAAGAGATTTTTTTAAAAGCCCCCATATAATTTCACTTACAAGACAATATACCGTACAATGCTGTGCAGAAGGCATTGGTATGGTCATTAAAATGTTACACTTTTGCCAGCAAAGCAAAAGGAGGTCATTTGACATGAATGTATAATATTACTAATAACAAAAATCGCCACAGACAATTTTACATTAAACATTATGCAGCACCCATATTGCAAAGCTCAATTGGCTGAGAGAGGGGGTGATTTGCTATAAAGCCTTTCCTGACCTGGTGGCCTTGAAATCTTTAGACTTTAGCTCCCCTTCCACTCCAGCTAGCCAGCCAGTA